AAAAAGGAATTCAATTAAAAAGAGTAAAACATGTAAACAGACTGTTCACCAGAAAATATATCCAAATGGCTAACAAACTTATGAAAAAATACTCACAATCATTAGCCATTTGGGAGATGCACATCAAAACAATGATAGCACCTTACAATGATAGCCCAATTAAAAACAGAAACAAATGCTTGAACAGCGGTTCTCAACCTGAGGGTCAAGACCCCCTTGGGTGTTGAACAACCCTTTCACAGGGGTCGCCCAATTCATAACAGTAGCAAAATTATAGTTATGAAGTAACAACAAAAATAATTTTATGGCTGGGGGGTGACCACAACATGAGGTATTGTCTTAAAGGGTTAAGTCCTTAGGAAGGGTGGAAATCACTGTGCTAGAGGGTGTGGAGAGGTAGGAACTCTTGCACATTGCTGGTGGGTTGTAAACATGCACAGTCATTGTGGAAAGAGATTAAGACACTACCTCAAACAGAGGGCATAGAAATCCCATACCATCCAGCAATCCCACTCTGCTGGGTATGTACGCCCCAGAACTAAGAGCCAAACACAAGCAGAAATATGCACCCGATGTTCACGAAAGCAAGAACTCAAGTTGGGAACACTCCAAATGCCCTACAGTAGAAGAATAGATCATGAAACTGGTATATGGGAATACTATGCATCCCAAAAAACAATGATGAACTCATGACATGGGCGACATTTTGGTCAATAGAATGGACAACATTGTATGAGACCACGGCTAGAAGCTTAAGACCAAAACTAAGACTGGCATACAGAAGGGAACAGACCTTGAAGGTTCCAACTGGAGGAAGAGAAGGATGGAGGTCCGACAAAGGGAAAGAGAAATTAGGGAAGAGGAGGGAGGGTTAGAATATAGCCTGGGGGAGGTGGGAGATGCAGACGAGCAGTTTAACTGCTGAATGCAGAGTTAATGGTCTAAAATGTACAACCCATAACTGATTCACAATAAAACATTCACTTAAAAAAACCTTTAATCTTGCTCTAATTCTACTCCCCGATGCCTTAATACTTTCTAACCTTATTGTTAACCCTTAATCCTAGAATAAAGCAAATCCTAAACCTATCCCTATTTCTTCTTCTTTTTTTTTTTTTTTAATAAATCATTTTATTGGGTTGGGGGCTCTTACAGTTCTTAGAACAATGCAAACATCAATTTTATCAAAACATTTGTACATATGTTGCCATCATTTTAAAAACATTTTCTTTCTACTTGAGCCCTGGTATCAGCTCTTTTATTCCCTCCCTCCCTCACCATCCCACCTCATGAATCCTTGATAAATTATAAATTTTTATTATTTTCATATCTTACACCATCCTCTTGTCTCTCTTCACCCATGTTTGTGTTGTTCATCCCTTTGGGGCCCCAGGGGTGTTATACGTCAATCATTGCGATCGGTTCCCCCTTTCTCCCCCATCTGACCACATCTTTCCCCTACCCTCATGGTATCACTGCTCCCATTATTTTTCCTGAGGGGTTTCTGTCCTGGATTGTGTGTGCCGAGAGCTCTTATCTGTACCAGTGTACATTCTCTGGTCTAGCCGGATTCATAAGGTAGAACTGAGGTCATGATAGTGATGGTGGGTGGGTGGAAGAATTAAAGGACTAGAGGAAAATTGGGTGTTTTGTTGATGCTATACTGCAGCCTGGCTGGCTCATCCCTTCCTTGTGACCATTCTGTAAGGGGATGCCCAAGTGTCTACAGATGGGCTTTGGGTCTCCACTTCACACCTCCCTTGTTTGCATCGATATGATTGTTTGCTTTGAGTCTTCTGATGCCTGATACCTGATCCCATTAACACCTCGTGCACACACAGGCTATTGTGCTTCTTCCATGTGGGTTTTGTTACTTCCCTGCTAGCTGGCCACTTGTTTAACTTCAAGCCTTTAAGACCCCAGACACTACATCTTTTAACAGCTGGGTACCATCAGCTTTCTTCACCACATTTGCTTATGCACACTTTTGTCTTCAGTCATTGTGCCGGGAAGGTGAGTGTCACAGAATGCCATGCTACTAGAATGTGTTCTTGCATTGAGGGAAGACTTATTTCTAACCCTTACCCTATCCTTAATCATAACCCTAATCCTAATTCTAAACCTAACTCTAACAAATAACCTAGTCCGTCACAAGCCCTAGGTCTAGACGAAAAGCAAATACCATCCCTGTGCTAACTCCAGCACTAATTCTAATCTTAACCCTAACCTACCGTAATCTCTGACTTAAAGAAAACTCTATCTGTGCTTATCATATTTTGTCACTAATCCTGTTATACTTAATCATTTCCCTAACACTACCATTTAATCTGTCCCTAAACGTAATCCTGTCATAGCCCTAGATATAACTCTATCCCAAACCCTAAACTTATCTCAGTACTATACCTATACATTATCTTAATCTCTACCACCCTATTACTAATCCTTAATCAAGCTACAACTTAAACCCAACTCTAAAACAATTCCTATTTAGATCCTAAGGATAACACTACACTTCTCTCAAATCTAATCCTTTACTTTAATCTTAGCTCTAGCAGAACTTATCCCTAGCCCTAACCCTTACTCTAAACCTAGCCCTAAAATAATCCGTAAACCTAATCCTAACTCTACTCCTACACCTACCTGGCTGTAGTCCTCGACCTAGTCCAAATTCAAAACCTAACCCTAACTGTATACCTAACCATAACCCTAGCCTAACCTATCTCTAAGCTCAACCCTATCCATAACCCTAGCTTTATCCCTAACTCTTCTTTTATCCCTAATCCAAACCCTACACTTACCTGTAAATCCTATCCTTGTGCCTATCTGTAACCGTGGCTCAAACTATTTCTTCCTCTTAAAAAAGAAAAAAAAATCTATTATCTTCTTCCCATTCAATGAAAAACAATAATTTCCTCTCAAGGGACAATTCATGAGCTATCCTGTCCCAACTCACTTTGACCTTATTCCCTCCTACCTCTTGCACCACCTAGTTCACTACAATTAACTGAATCTGACTTAACTATGAGTCTATGGATGAGTCTGAGAAAGTCTATGAACTTCTAAAACTGCACTGCTCTTTTATTTTTAAACTATGGGTAAATAAGCAACTACATGGAGGAAATGTCCACAGTTTATACAATATTCTTGAGAGTACATGAATCCACAAAGATTAAAAGCATCTTTTCTTAAATTAAATAAGTGATTTGACTAGAAACAAATATTCTGAAAAGGTATATAAAGATTCTACATTAAATCATGTGACAAAAAAGGGATTTAAAAGATGCTATCTTGGAATAAATCAAGTAATTGTTTAAATATTACTGGACCTTATGATACAGTTTCTATTTTACTCAAAGGTTTCCAGAAACACACATTTTTGTTTGCTTTCATGTCAGTCATCTGAGACACAGGAGCGATGGATCCCACTGCAATCAATCGAAGCAGGCTGTCCACATGAGCGCGGAGGGAAAGAGGCTGTTTGAAGATGAGGGCTTCTGGGAGGCCCATTTCTCTGATCAATGGCAGGTAGTCCCCAGTTCCAGACAAGATCCATCCCTAAGAGTGGCTTCATGCTGTTTGTAAGTCAGTGGGAACAGGTGCAGAGAGTTCTCGTTCATTATTTAGCTTTACTTAACTTAGTGCAAGACAAGGAGTCCTGGTGGCCCAGAAGGGGAAGCACTGGGGTGCTAACTGCAGGGCTAGCGATTCAAACCCACAAACCACTCTGAGGGCGAAAGAGAAGACTGCCTGCTCCGGTCAAGACTGCCTGCTCCGGTCAAGATTTACAGTCTCAGAAACCCTAAGGGGCAGCTCTACCTTATAAGGCCCTTGCAAAGTGGAAATGACTCATTGACAGAGGGTTAGTACAAGAAAAGGCTTCACATCTTTGCAATGATTCAAATGCCGCGGAGGAACTTGCTGTATGTAAGGGTTGGCTCTAACACATCATGGTGATAGCCAATTCACAGAATATTAAAGGGGCACAGAGATGTTGTCAGGAAGTCAGGCGCTCTGAACCCAGGGACCGTCGCTACTCTGAAAGCCCACCACACCAAGGACATTAACTGAGTAGATCTGCCAATGACTGTTGAGGCAGCTTAGAACTTGTAATCAAAACCTCTTTTCGAAGGACAGCAAATGCAACAACCACGGGAGATGATGTTTAGTGAAAAGAATTCTTACAGCATGATTAGTGAGAAAGCTGGGAGCAGGGGGTACTCTATTTTGGTATCATGAGTAGATGGGTAGGAATCAAAATTTAATTTTAATTTTTTCCCCTAAAGAATTGGAAAATTGAAAGTCTATAAATAAGAATCCAAGAAACCCTTTATCTGTCGCCAACCCTCCCCCCGCCCCCACAACCTTGACTTCTGAAATACAGTGAAACTTTCTACCATCTGTTATTTTAAAGCAGAGAGTAATGAGCATATGGGCTTTCTCTCTCCAGCAGCTGTGATGTAGTTAAAGTTATAATAATTGTCTCTCTGTAAGATAAATTTACATTAAAAACCTGGCCAGTTAAAACAAATGGCTGTTTCAGAGCTTTCCCAAACAGAATTGTAAAAGTCAGAATCATATAAGATATATTACATTCAGAGACTTGGAGCCTATCTTCTAAATGTGTGCTTTTATGCTTAAGGTTGAACATATTTAACTCAGGTTGCCCAAATCAGTTTTTACAATCAAAAAGTCAACATCCCATGTTTTCGCCTTTTCAAGAAAAATGCTAGTTAGGAACCTCAGCGCTTAGGTGTTTATGGATATTAAAAAACCCAAAACCAACAGCAAAGTTCTCAAAAGCTGATAATACTCATGGATCACTTCTTGGAGGACACTGAGTTCCACTCCAGAGGTTCATTTATTTTGAAGAAAAATCACAACACTGGAGGCGCATACCTTCTCTCTCACTTACATGCCATTTATAGAAAGTTTAAATAAATGGAAAGGAATTCAGCGAATAGTATGGTCCACTAAGTAAGAAAAATAGGAATTCTACCTACCTTTATCAGGGTGGTTCAAAATCATAATTCTCCTGTGGGCTGTTCTAATCTTGGCCTTACCAGCAGATGGGCTGTAAAAATAAATTAAACGTGCTTAAAATAAATAGTGTCAGGTGCAGTTTATAAATTAACAATTTGAATTTAAAAAACTTAAAAACTAATGAAAATTTCACCATCTTGTGGACACATATGAAATTACAGCTTTTCATTTAATTTCACCAATAAAAATAAGTCACTGATTCAATGTTGAATATATTTTCTTTAGGCCTTTGTAATGCTAATTTTTCATCTCAATCCATGTTAAAGATAAAATAAAACACAATATATAGAGTATGTATGCAGTCGTTTACAGGCTATAAAAATTTATGTTTCCAGTTCTTTGAGGAGAAGGTAATCGATGGAGGGGCTTCAGCAAGCTTGTGGAAGAATGGAATTGAAAGACAATGGAACTTTTTCATGAACTTTTGAAGCCTGGTTATATATAAAATGTAGCAGATAAGTACTGAGATTCCTGGGCTAGCTTGCCTGATTTAAGCCTGGTCCTGCCATCTGCAGGACTCCGGATGACATAGTGAGTTCAGTTTTGGGTTGCCAACTGAAGGGTCTGTGGTTCAAACCCACTACGGGAGAAAGATGAGGAAGCCTGCTCCCATAAAGACGTACAGCCATGGAAACCCCAAGGAGCAGCCCTACTCTGTCCAGTAGGGCCATTATGAATTGGGTTTTTTGCTTTGGGGTTTGTAGATGTCCCGGCGGTGCACTGGTTAAGCTCTTAGCTGCTAAGCAAAAGGCATGAGGTTCAAACTGACCAGCTGCTCTACAGTAGAGAGATGTGGCCGACTGTGTCTATGAATACTTACGTCTTTGGAAAGCCCATGGAGTGGTTTCCATTCTGTCCTATAGGTGGCTAGGAGTTATAATTGACTCTACTGGATGAGATTTGGCTTCAGTTTTGGTTAACCTTGTTCAACTCTTCACCACGCTGTTTCCATTTTCTAACTCTAAAATGGAGCTAACAACAATACATTTCTCACACAGCTGCTGTATGGAGCTAGAAAGTGCTAGATCAGTGCCTGGTGTATAGCAAGTGCTCAGTAACAGTTAGCTTTATTAATGCCATCTTTCAACACAAGATCTCAAAGTCCCTCCTCTCATAATTAATTTAGGTTTGTGAGAAACCTACTGGAAGGGCTTAGCTGTCTCAATAGTCTCGGTTCTAACAAAAAAGGAGAAAGAAAAACAACAAAAACAGCAGGCCTAAAAGAACTTGGTAAAATCTTATTTATCTAGTATTACAACTGCTTCTCATGAATACATTTTCCAGACAAGGAGGAAAAATTAACTGCAAAAAACAACAAAATACTATTATTGCTACTTAATTGCTCTTCTATAAATGGCTTTACTTTTCTGGGTCTCAAATGGGATAGTAGCTGATTTACAGTAAAGGGTAGCTGTTGTCAGGCTCTAAATAATTTAATTAATATGAGTGAATCATATACGATAGTGACAAAAGCATGTTTTCAGTGTTGCTCAGATGGGAGTTCAAAATCCTGATTCTACCACTCATTAGCAAAGGACCTTTGCCCTTGGAGTTCTGATTTTCTCATGTACAATGGACATAATGAAACCAACTCTTCAGGATTCATTAAAATTAAATCAGATATGAAGGATTAGCATGACTTGGTATATAGCTAATCTTATAATGCATTTTTATAAAAATATATTACATACTTCTGACTTTTAAAAATTATGTATCAATAGAATTACCTTATACTCCAGGGAGATGATTGATATTATTCTCTAATATAAAATAATGTCTCTAATATGAAATATATATAAACCATAGAAATAAGAATGGATTTGAGGCTCTCACTTAATTCTAGCCCTAATCTAAGAACAATTAGTCCTTATGACATGGCCCTGCTTGATGCTCGCCCTCATGAAGAGATCACTGAAGATATCGGTGCTATAACAAATTGTGGTGAAGAAAGCAGATGGTGCCTCGATATCAGACAGAATAGCATCTGAGGTCTTAAAGGCTTATCTTCAAACAAACAGCCATATAAGTGTGGTGTCAACTAAGGCCACAGGCAGGACACCAGCCTGTGTGGACAAAGGACTGAAACAACAAAATGCAAGTCCAAAGGAGAGAATTATATCAGAGCTTAAATTGTGAAAACTCGGTTTGCAGATGGCTATGGGTGACAGTGGAAGCCCCAAATCCATTTTTAGGGTCCCCATAAGGATTGTCTCTGGGGAATCCCCTCTGACCATAGTTGAGCGATACAAACAGACTTGACAGAGCACTGAAAAGTTCAGTGTGGCAGATGTAGTTAGGTTAAAATGTCATATACTATCATTTGATCTCCTTTCTGACCCTTTTTAAAGTTGCTTCAGTTTTTAATATGTTCTGCTTTCTTTTCGACTGAAGTTTTTCTATGGTTTCTCTAGTTAGCGTGGTTGGATTTTCAGTTAGTTGCTTGCTTCCTGTTTGTGTTTTGGATGGTTGTCTGTATATGAAATCCAGGCGAAGTAGATCCAGAGAGCTAGCAGGGGAGGTTCGGGAGGAATGAGAAGCTAACAAGGAGGAAGAAAAGGAAATGTTCTGAAATTGTGGTGATGATTGCACATCTTCTTAATATGACTGAATAATTAAACTATATGGTATGTGAAGGATGTGTCCATAAAAGGATTATTAAAGAAGCAGTGTGAATCTGGTTTTATGTTTCTTGAAGGGCTCAGAAAACATCCCCTGGAGAGGGGAAGAAATGACGAGCAAAGGCTCTCTGCAGGCCCGCAGGGATTGGCTTGCTCCCCCACTAAAACATTGCGGGCCCACTCTTCATTTTAAGTCCCTCCCCCCACGTGCTGTTGTGTGCACCTCTCTCGCTGTCAGACTATCAGATGCCAGTCCTTGATTCTGCCAGCATTCCAGTCTCTAGCAGTTCCTTGCCAATTACTTGCTACTTCTAATCTCCTGTAAATATCAGATCACCAAGCATGTTAGCATATGCTATCAAATGTTAAATAGGCATATAAAATAGTCTTCCACCAGTAAGTTGTTTCCAGTTTGCTCCCTGTGGACCCCTCCCCCTTACAACCCCACCCTCAATATGAGGATTTAATAGTGTCCCCTATGGCAGGAAATCTCTGAAGCATCGTTTCAGACGTGGTGTCTCTCAGATTAGATCACAAAGCTGATTAGAAAGAAGATGGAATTATGAGGGAGAAGCTGTTAAAACACTGTACCAAGGCTATGAGCATTATACTATTTAACAAAAAACACAACACATTCCTTAGGAAAATTCCAATCTGACTGAACTTCTTATTGTAAAGTGAGATGTATCTTTACTTGTGTTGTACTTTGTAGATTCCTAATGAACTTTATACAGCCTTCCAAAAGACAGTGGCTATAGAGGTAAACTTGAAAGAACGCTATAAAAAATTAAGGAGCCCTAGTGATGTAGAGGGTTATGCATTGGGTTGTTAACCACAAGGTTGACAGTTCGAAACCACCAGGTGCTGTGTGAGAGAAAAGTGAGGCTTTTTATTCCTGTAGAGTGATATTGTTTCAGAAACGCATAAGGCGGTCTTGCCCTATCTTACGGGGGATGCTATGAGTTGGAATTGACTTGATGGTAGAGTTGAGTCTGAATAAAAGGATTTATAAAGAATTGTTGAATTACAAAATATTGCAGAGTAAACAAAACAAAATGAGCAGTTTAAACATTATATTTCATAAAATTAATCTAATATAAACTACCAGATAAACATCCTGTCCCATATGACCTTTTGGTGGGAAGGAGGAGAAGACAAGCGATAAAAGTCATAATCTTTTATTGGATATTAAGTTTTGATTCTCCAAGTAAAACACATTCTGAAAATTACATCCTTGAGAATTTACAATGCCACAGACAACTGTCACAGAAACATTGGGTTTTGTCCCTAAAGCTCCACACAGCATTACGGACAGTAAAGTCTGCCAAACAGGAAGCCAGAGGAAAGGATGAGGCGCTGGACGGTTCATGAGCCTAAGTGTGGGCAGTGAGAGCATCTGTCCTCAAGGTCACAGTCATCAGGCAGACTCCTAGTGGGAAGCTTTGGGGATGAAGGGAAACATTCTCTTTGCCCACAGGGTTTATTCCGCCTTTGTTATTGCTCCATTAAATCTCAATGACCTCCACACATTTTCATCAATTTCTTTAGCGTAAAGATTAAACGAGATGGGAGAATCCTCCCTCCTAAACTTTGTATGAAAGTTGAAAATAGTTGTGCAATATCTCCACCATTTACAATTTCACCACACATTTGAAAAGTTAACTTGGAGGGTTCTGTTACCTAGAGCTGGGATTTCAGACTGTGCTCTGTGGAGAATTCTTTGCCAGGAGCAAGGACCTGGGAAGGGAGGCTTGGGAACCAAGTGTTGTCCCCAGACTCTGTGGCAAATAGCCACTTGCCACTATCATTTTTACTACTGGGCGTATGAATGATATTTCACTTAAACAGAGTCCCACAAAAGCTTTCAGAGAGTTTGAAAATCACTAATACGCATCATTTGAGAAAATACCAGGTATAATAACAGTTTTCCTGGGCAGCTGAATAAAATATTTTAGGTTTTCCATTACAGACAAGAATTATAGTTCATAAAATTACCCTCTCACAAGGAAAATCACAGAGACTCAAATATGCATCTTGGCAAACCATCACCATTAAATGCTGTGTGTAAGAATCACCTCGTAGCACACAGAGTAGTTTTCTTTCACGGTGTCAAGAGAGCCCGTTCATCTTGCCTTTCTCTGCTCCTCAGACCTGAGATCCAATGACCGCAGACCGGAGAACAAGCAGTGGAGCATTCTGGTCTGAAATGCCTTTGCCTCCTCAACCACGGAGCTAAGGAAAGCACGGCCGGGAACGAGGGGGTTTCTCTTTCTGTTTAAAGTTCTAGGAGCAAATAGGTAGCCTTTGTTTCCATGAGAGATAGGATGAGAGAAGAACGAACATTTAATTTAGCCCCTGTTTCTTACAGACACTTTAATGAAGAGGGGCCATGGCATCCATTCATTATTCCAACAAGGGAGGCATTGCTAATCCCAAGTTAAGAGCAAAGATCCAGAAGCACAGTGAAGCTAAAAGTAGCTGTACCCAGATCATGCAAGGCCTAAGAGGCAGAACCAGGTTAGGAATCGTTGGCTGAGCTGGTATTTATTGAGTAGTTACTAACTACTATGCTTTTGAGGAATTTCAGATGAATTATCTAACTTAATCTTCACAAGAACCCTATGCAGCAAGCAGAAACAAGTATCATTTGTATGTTGTAAACAATGAAACTCAAGTTACACAGTAGGTGGTAAAGCTGATATTTATACTGAGACCCATTTAATAGGAGTCTGTGTCTTACCCTCTGGATTCACCTACTTTCCTTGTGAGTCTTGCTCAGTGGGATCAAACTGTCTAACTGTATAAAGCCTTTGTACACTCAACACCACGGAACTAAGGAGAGCACTAGAGGGAAGCAAACAACACAGTCATCTACTCCAATACCCGTTCCCAGTCCCACAGTGGCTCGGACATTGGTACACGGTGGATTTAAAAACGTCCACGTTTGGTTTTACGATGTGTTCCCTATTCACCTTTAAGAATATGAATGGGATGCTATTGGAGTTCAATAAAACTTCAAGGAAAATAATCCATTCTGAGGAACACTATGAAAGGGACAGCTAGCAGTATATCTCACTTCCTCATCTGGTTCCTCTGCTTAAAATCGTTTCTGATTTCCTCTTCTCTGCTAAGTAGAGAGCTCATCTCCTAGAGCAGTGCTTCTCCACCTTCCTCATGCCGCGACCCTTTAATACAATTCCTCATGTTGTGGTGACCCTCAACCATAAAATTATTTTCGTTGCTACTTCATAACTGTCATTTTGCTACTATTATGAATCAGGCGACCACTGTGAAAGGGTCATTGGACCCCCAAAGGGGTCGCGACCCACAGGGTTGAGAACTGCTTAGAAGAAGATAAAGTACCAGACTGAACCGAGCCACCTCCTCTACTTTTCCCTGCTCTTCTTCCTAGGTCATCAGAAATAATAAGTGCTTTGGTTTAGAAAAATTTACAAGAAGCTGGGCGCGCGGGAGAAGGAATGCTGTCTATATAGGACTTTATGGTCTATTCTGGACACTTGATTAGATCACTGAATATTAGCAACACTGTGACCAACCCCCACAAATAACGAGTGGGCTCTAAGGGAAACAAGTACACAGAGCTTTCTGGAAGGGGCAGGGGGCCTCAAGTATAAGTAGCAGATAATGCACATAGTATACATAGCAACCACACAATATGATACATTAACTTTCTCCCCAAGGCTCTGGTCCAAAGGCAGACAATGAAGGGATGAAGGGATAGATTCCATGGTCTAACAAGTGCAAGAAACCCTGTGAGATGCCAAACCAAAATGTGGGGCTAGGAAGTCCAGTGTGATACCTGTAAATGCAACAGACCTTACCACTAAAACGAGTCCAGACAGACCTGAGGGCCACAGGAAGGGATCGTTTGCTTGATGAACTTGAAACAGCATTCACACATAACAGCTCTTGTCCAAAAGTAAAGATGCACTACAAGTCTGCCATGTGTTTGTTTTGCCAGGGAAGTGGGATACGCTCTTATAGTTCATGTTTTAAATGACTTTAAATATTTGATATTTTTTTCTGTCTCTCCTACTCCTAATTTGAAATACAGGGATAATCTTATTGCTACATTTTCTCCTCTTCCTAGACAAGCTTGGCCACAGAACAAAAATCCTACTTACGCAGCATACCTACCTTATGCCTAAAATAAGACTAGCTTCTCGCCTACTCATTTTCTGTTCAAATCCTCCTTTGTAGTACGATGAAAGGCTCTGCATGGGGAAGAAAGAGCAAGACATAATTAGTTCCATGCACGAGGTGCAAGGACCCCAATCCCATCACATGCTACACAAGAGGACTGCCTCTTTATCAGAAGCCAATTTGAAGCTGGGGCGTGGGGGCAGCACAAAACAATCAATCTTTTCAAGAAACTGTGACTGAGATGAACACTTTAAAAATATTCATTTATTTTCATTTCCAAATACATTAATTTTTTCTGCACTGAGATATAACTGAAAGAACGTATGAACTCAGTAGAAGCAAAACGCTTGCATCTTTTCCCAAGCTCTGCAGCAATTTCCTCACTGCAAAACCTTGACCACATCACTTAATGTGGGTACGGTGAGCTTCTTTCTCCCTACTGGACTGGCTGGCAGAGAGAGGGAGGGAGGGAGAGAGGGATGGACAGGGCGGGGAGGAGGCCGAGATAGCAGACAGGTGGGCCACGAAGAACTGGAACACCTGATGGGAAAATCGATGCGGCTGGAGCAGCACGAGTGAGGAGAAGAGTAGTTTTAGAAAGGTAAGGGGGGTCTGATTGTGCAGGGCTTTGCAAACTACTGAAAGACGCTGGGGTTCTCTTCTAAGTGAGAAGAGAAAGAAGCCCGGGGACAGGTGTCAGGCTGACTTGGTGCTGACAGTCCTCTTTGTGCAGGGTGGCGGCGGGAGATGGTTAGAAGGGCATGCCATCAGGTGAGAGATGGAGGCAGCAGAGGAAGCAGCGGTAAGCAGCATCTTCCAGATGTACTCGGAAACACTCACATTTGCTCGATGGATGAAATGCAGATGATGAGAAAGAGAGAAGAGCTGAGACAAGTGTAGTGGATATGATTAATGCGCTACCCACCCCACTCTTTGAGAGTAAAGGACTTATTCCCTGATGCTGCTGGCAGAGACCTCTCAGTAAGCGGATGTGTTTGGAAACTGCCTTTTCAGAAGAAAGTCAAGGTCATGCCCTCCTCCATCAGTTGCCATGATGGTCTAAACACTGCAGTTCTCTAGGGTCCGGTCCCTGGACTTTGTACTGACCACTTCTAGGTGATGCCATTTAACACTGCAGACCCTGACCCCAATTCAGGGCAAGCTGCACTGAGACATCCTAACTTCAACCTGTCTGTGCGGTGGCCTGAAGCCTTTAATAGTAAGAATGTATTGAAGCTTAACTTCTCCCTCTTCCAATCCTTCTTTCTTTTTCCTCACCGGGGCTGTTGGTTTTAACGTACTCCTTAATAAACCTATAGCTCGCTAACTTTCGTCTTCGTCTACTTTCCAGAGAATCCAAGCTGCACAAATGACTTCAAGGTTTCTGACCTAAACTGCTAATGGTCATTTACTGAGTAGAAAAGCAGCAGTTGTCTGTTGGTTCTGGGTAATAAGTGCCTGGAGATTGGTTTGGGTGCATATTAAGTTTGGAATTTCTATTAAATATTTAAGAAAAAGTCTCATCTGGATATCACATTTAGAAATCATTGATGCAGAGACAGTTATTTATAGCTGTGAGACTTAAATGAGATTGTCTAGAGAGGGGGCAATCTTATAGTGCCCTGTTGGCTTAGTGGGTTATGCACCCCAAGGTCAGCAGTTCAAATCTACTAGGAGAAAGATGAGGCTTCCTGTTCCTGTGAGACTTGTTAGTCTCACAAACTCAAAGGACACAGTTCTCACCTGTTCTATTGGGTGGCAGTGAGTCAGAATTGAGGCAATGGCAGTGAGCTTACTGTATGTAGCTGGTTAGGGAATAAAAGTATATAAGAAGCACAAGGACTGAGTCCTAGAGAACTTCAAACCAAACCCACTGCCATCAAGTTGATTCCAGCTCAGAGACCTTTAGAGCAGAGTTAAGCTCCCCCTTCAGTAAATCAGAGATACTTTTACTTTGCCATGATGCAATCTATGGATCAGGTTTCATTTAGGGAATGAGGCTAGCAGGATTTTTGCTCTCCCTTAAAATGTGCATTAACAGTGATCCTGTAGTGCAGAGAAGAACTGACCTATCAGATTTCTAAAGCTGTAAATCTTTGGGGAAGCAGACTCCACATCTTTTTCCCAGAGAGCAGCTAGTAGGTTCGAACCACTGACCTTCTGGTTAGCAGCTGTGCACTTAATGTCTAAGTCTTAACCACTATACCCTCAAAGCTCTTAACTACTATTCCCAAAGCCGTTGCCATTAAGTCCATTCCAACTGATAGCAGCCGTATGGTGATCCTATTCTGCAATAAAATATCTCAAGTTAAATAAAAGTCTTCATTAGCTAATACAGTCAATGGCTTAAATCACAAAAGTCCACCAGATAACCAGAAAGGGATTAATGTATTTTTTTTGCACAAATGTCTTATGGGAATTTTTTAGAAACACAATCCCCTGTATGTTCATTTCCCATGTGCTCTATGTGTATTTTATGTGCAAGTATTTTTATATGAGAAAATGTGGTACACCATCCTGAAACTTTTATTATTCACAGGAGTACGTTTTATTGACAGGGCTACAGAAAGATTATCCTAATAAGTGTTATTTTCATGAATTTCACTTGACCATAAAACAACTGGTATGCAATTTTTAAAAGCTGTTCTCATATAAAAGTACAAATTCACCCAAAAAGCCTCAAGAAAAGGCTCACTCTCCACTCCAAACAAAAGAAAAAACAGAGATAATTAAATATTAACTCAGTGAATATATTAATATTATACAATAGGACATTAACAGATAAGCAAAATGATATTGGTTCAAACAGCAAACAATCATAAAAGACTTTTGCTTTCCAAAATGCTTCTGAAATAAGAAGACAATATATTCCAAGCAAGAAGAATCCACATTATGCCCAGGTACAAGAACCAAACTGATCGATGAAAGATGTGCTGGAAGACTGAAAACAGTTTAAAAGTGGACTTACAGAAAATTCACAGCTGCCTCAAACACCAGATGAATTAAGTACTCCCAAGGAAATCAAAACACTAAATTCAAAGTCAACAATATGAAATGTAATTAATTAATCCAAAGCGGCAAAGAATGATCTTTCCTATTCCCTTAATTTGGAGCATAAGGCCAGGCATCTGCTACTTTGGGTCTCACACTAAGGAAAATAGTCATATGCCTGAGGGTGAATCTTCTTGGGGTGCTGGCACCCAAGAAAAAAGCAAAAGGGAGTACCAGCAGATTCCAGTTCAGAACCCAGGAGACAGAGTGGGAAGACAAGGGTGACAATGACAAGGAGTACCAAAACCAAACCCACTGCTATCAAGTCAATTCCATCTCATACCAACGGCCCAAAGTATAGGTTCCTAATTTATTTGGCTGACCACTCCCTTTTCAGGGGCTGGGGGTGGGGTGGGTGGGTGGTGACACTCAGTGCCCCACTGACAATTAAAAACTTTTGTACTGTAGCCCATAATCCAGGACAATGTGCAGGGAACTGCTCTGGATCATTCTGCAGCCACTCAGTATTGTCCACTTTGGGAAACACTGCTCTAAAGGGTTTCCAACACTGTATATGTTTACAGGAATAGACAAGTCTGATCTTGCTCCTTTGGAGTGGCTGGTGAGTATGAACTGCTAACCCACAGCACCACTCCAGCTTCTTATAATGAGGAGACTATACACAGCACTCAACCACTCCTGGGCTTCAGAGGTCCCACACCTGACTCTGGGCTTCTAGCTCTGGAAGACATGCCTCTTGACATAATCCATGTATGTATTCAGAATCCACTTTCTAACCATTCTATTCAAGTAAATTGTTGAGTCAAGTCTACCCAATTCTTGAGGGTAAATTCAAGAGCATTATTTATATTAATCAATTTCATTCTCATAAGCATACAACCACCACCAAGGGTCATCAAATATTTAAGAAATTCAGTTTATCATGGAAATAAAAGAAACAATGAATAAAATAACAATTGGTGTTGAAGGGAAGAAATAAAAGAGAAAGCAGAAAAAAAACTCACAAAATTTCATTAGTGTCTTTAGAAATATTCAAAAGAATACTGCAAGCATAAAAGAAAAGGTTGCTGTGAAAAATATGAGTGAATTCTTAGAAATTAAAAATCCAGTGTATGGACTGAAAAGCACAATGGTCTTAGGCAGCAGCTAACCTGGCAATCTGAAAAATAAGCTGCAAAAATAGCTTACAGCATAGAGTAAGGAGAAAATAAGCAATAAAATGTTCAGAGACATAGAGAATGAGCTCAGAAGTCCAACATCTGCCCAAGAGAGAAGTCCTGGAATCAGAGCTGAGCTAAGCACTTATGAAGAGAAGAAACAATGTTTTTAAAACTGTAAACCTTACAGAACTAAAAGTACATTTTTCAAATGGGCTCACTAATAGTTCCTGTAAATTTAAAACATGAACAATAAATAGAAAAATCATAAAATCTCCCAGAGATTTAAAAGAAACAAACAATAACAAATGAAAAAGGAAAAACAACAGGTTGCCTACAAATGAGTACGCGTAACACCAGAAAATATGGCTGTGACTCTGTAGGAGTCTCACCAGAGACTTCTGTATCCCCCAGTACAAGGTTCTACCCATTTCAAAGAGTTAGCAGTTAATGATTTACAATGAGAGCAAATAAATTAATTGTTTAACAGAGAACTCAAAACTCCAAAAGCTTCCCCTCACACACGTACACATAACAGTTTTCATGATAGCCCACTCCTCTGGTGCAATCCTGCTTCTTGAAAGTGTTCAACTCTTCTCTACTGCAGGGTCTCTGCAGTAAATGCTCTGGCAGTCTGAAAGGTATATTCTCAGATGCTCCCAGAGCCTGCTCCCAGAAAGGCCTTCTTCTCTGGCCTAGCTCATAAAGATACCTTACTACCATTATTCTTTAGCTTCTTCCCGATTTTGTTTCCCAGTAGCATTCAATGCCTCTAGATATTACATGTCTTATCTGCCCATTTGTTATTGTCTGTCTCCAATAAAATGTAAGCTCATCTGTCTATAACTATAGCCCACTGCCCACGTATGAACAAACCAAACTCACTGCCAGTGAGTCAATCCTGACTCAGCGAGCAACTTCTAGGCAAGGGTAGAACCGTCCCTATGAGTTCCAAGACTGTAACTCTTCCAGGAGTGAAAAGCTCAGTTTTTCTCCCTTGGAGCTACTGGTGAAGACCTTGTGGATCACAGACAAGCTCGTCACTACTGCTCCACAAGGACCCCACTTGACACAGGTGCTCAGTACCAACATTCTAGTCAAATCACACATAAATAAGCAAACAAATAAGCATACACCTCCTCAATCCAGACATGCATTTATAGAAATGTAAAATCATTTGTAGTTTTTTGAACCTAGGTTTACTTATTGGTTGGTTTGTCATGTTTCGAGAGAACTGTAATTGTTCATGGCTAACTAAGCCTCAGGAGCCTATAATGTCTTTGCTAAAGCAAGTCATTCGATCAAATTGCTGCGAGCCAAGCTATTATATCTCCAATCTGCTGCTACTTTCCAGAAGTTCATGTTTATGCGGCTCTGCTTTGCTTCGGTGACTTTTGTGTGCACTGTCTTCAAGGGGTCACAAACCACAGCTCACCATCCTGTGGCTTTTTAAGTACCTGCTATCATTCATTCCTCACTTATATTCAGCTCATTATAATAGTTCTTGTGCTGGCTATCGATGGAGGCAGAAGCCCTACAGGTTTTCATGGTGGAATCCTATCTTGTTTTATACTTGAGGTAGTGGCAGAAGGTGACAAGTTTCAAATTTCAAGATGAAGCAAACTGCAGTGAGCTCCAGCAGGGCAGGGCCATGTCTACTTTATTCACCATCTAGCTCCGCTGTAGGAACCAGACTTGCTGTACAGTGGATCCTCACTAAATGTTTGCAGGATGGGTGAATTATATTAGCTTACAAATACTATCCTTAAAACTGGGAAGATAAACTACCTCAAAATTGATGTAATTCTACTAAGAGTTTGATAATCCTATTAAAATCAGGAATAAGGTTAGATATAAAAATAACATCAAAAGACAGAAACAACTTAATCACATTAGAAGAAAATCCAAGATGATATAATGAAGGCAGTCCATGGGTATAAACAAAGAGGGCTAGTAGATGAGTGGTGAGAATTACAATTATTCTGATTAGAGTAGCTCCTCTTTTTTTTTTCTTCAAAGGACAAAGGTATCCTTGTCCTTTAATAAAAATGCATTGCGGTTGGGGTGAACATTTACAGAGCTAATTATATGTCTGTTCCACAATGTGTATGCAGGTTGTTTCAGACATTGCTTGAAGTCCCCACAATGTAACAGCACCTGTCCCACTTCCACACATTCCCGTTTCCATTTGTCCAAACACATTTTCTTGTGTTTCTGTGAAGTATGACGTACAAACAAAAATAAAAATAATTTTTCCCACAAAAGCCAACTTAAACTTACAGGATTTGAAATCTTCTTTGCAGTTTCTGTGATTACATGTTCCAGAGGTTTCCAGATCTGAAATGCATAGCGACCTAAAAGACAAAAAGGGATAAGAACCAATCTGCCTACTCTAATCAAAACGAAATCAATAACCTGATGGTGATTACCATGGCATTTATTTTGTAGGTTAGTCTATAGATACTATCTCAATAAATATTTACCAAAATGACATATAATAAAATTTTTAATTTAGTGACTAGAGGAAATAATTTCATTTTCATAGCATTATTACATCTATTGTGTTAATCAGCTCAGTACATAATTGCTCAATTAGAAAGTTTCCATGTTTCTGTACAGTACTTGACATTTAAACAGTGTTTTCATCACAAAAGGTATCATTTTAGGACTTTCCCACAACTATTTTGTCCCTTTATTTAGAAAGATGCTTACGCATCTAAAATAATTAACATATTGCTTTAAGATGATCACATTGATATGCAGAGAAAAGAAACACTGCTTATCATCTGTACAATGTAGAAAGACTTAGTGGAGTTATGCTTAAAGTAAAAAGTAATGTCTATGCAATTACACAGAAAATATTTGCCAAAGATCTTTATTATCAATTTCTCTCATTCAAAATGACTACCCTTTCTCAATATATATTTTATTCTCCTGCCTTGCTTTCATAGACAACCTAAGAATTAAAACTCTTGATTCTTGACAACTAAGAATCAATAGCAAAATAGGTACTAAGTTATTTTGGGAACATAAAACAAGAATAAAATTATATTACCCAGGTAATTTCCCTTTTGCACTTTAATCAGAATGCTTGTCTACTACAGAGTAATCACTAGCATTTCTTTTCCCAAAGGTCTCCTAGAAAACTAGTTTATGATATCATGGATACTAATTCCATTTCCAGCCATAACCTGATTTGCAAATCAATGAAAGTTTCCACTGTGAAAGTTCAACTACACAGATCTTAAAGCTTTAAGAAGAACTCATCTGTCTGATTATACCATTACTCATATGCGTGAGACACAGCTGAGAGTTAAAAACAGGATGCTAGAAATGAGAAAATGTGAAGTCGTCTACCTAAGGATGAAATAAAAAGCTCTTGGGATCCAGGAAAAGATTAAAGAAAAAGTAAATGAAGCTAAAATCCTGACTCATTCAAATCTTTCATCACGTAGATGCAATCACAGAGAAGAACGCCTGCACAGGAAAACTCAGATAGTACAAAGTGTAGCTTTTCAGGCACTTCAAATTTCCTAAAAGGGTAAAAAAGCAGTTAACTGACTATCCAAGTGGAACAACACCACGAGAGGCCGGAAGGGGTGGCATCATTACTCTTCATTTCTCCACACACCAGATGGACCAGAGCCTGAGGTCCATCAAGTTGAAGTATATCACAACCCGCTGCCATCGAGTCAATACAGACTCATAACAACCCTGAGAACAGGGCAGAGCTGCCCCTGGGGCTCCCGGAATGGGAACTGTTTGTTCATGGCAGTAGAGTAGAAAGCCCCCACTTTCTCTCAGGGAGCTGCGGGTGGCTTCAATCTGCCAGCCTTACGGGTCGCAGCCCAATGCACAACTACTAAGCCGCCAGGCTGCCGTACTCTAGGTATGAAACCCAAACTAAGAACACACCAAACTCACTGCCATGAAGTCAGTGCCCACTCAGAGTGATCCTATAGGACAGTGGTTCTCAACCTGGGGGTCCTGACCCTTTTGGGGGGTTGAACGACCCTTTCACAGGGTCGCCCGATCCATAACAGTAGCAAAATTACAATTATGAAGCAGCAACAAAAATAATGTTATGGTTGGGGGGGGGGCGGAGGGGGGAATCACCACAACATGAGGAAATGTATTAAAGGGTCACAGCACTAGGAAGCTCGAGAACCATGTCTATAGGACAAGGTAAAACTGGCCTCATTTCCCAAACTGTAACTGCTTACCGAAGTAAAAAGCCCCATTCTTCTAGACAGGCAGACACTGCTGATGGCAGCACAATCCATAATCACTACGTCACCAGGGCTCCTCAAAGTCTAGGTATGGTTACTCCGAAATCTGAGTGTTCAGCTGTCTTTAGCTCTGCAAGATATCTGCCTGTTATTTAATATTCAACTTAGTAATATGAAATTTCCAGTAGGATCTGGGAAAAGTAAATCATTCTCTAATTTAAAATGAAAATCTTACATTTAAATTACTAATACCTACACCTAGACTATATTCGCCTATAATGATTAGAATTAGAATTGTCTGATGCTTGTGGATAAGCTTGTATGAATTCTTATCTAGACATTATATTCTTGTCATGAATCTTTAAAAATTATTTAACTCGTTATTCAATGAGACCCAATATGCCAATGGTAGAGAGATCCAGACAATCTGAACCCCTGACCTTCCTGATTTTGAAGTTTATTGGTACCGGTGCTTTAAATGAAGAGAATTTAAAATTAAAGCTCCTTCAAAGCAAACAAACAAGAAACCCTTTTACGTTCCATTTTCTGACTGGATCTTACGAAATGCCATAAATCCAAAGCTTCCCCTAAAAGGACGCTCCAACTGGCAAGGTCAGATCCATGGAACTTAAAAACACAAATATTACAACAAAAAATAAATCTTTCACAGAGACAATTATGGATTAACATTTAATTTGGCAATCACTTTGTACTTTAAAACTACAAATTAATGGCTGAAACATATCACTGTTTTCCTTTTTAATCTGTATAACTGCTTTCTGAAAAGGTAATTAAGGCAGTAAAAGGCATTCTCCTGGGTTTATCATAGAAATTACACGAATATGTTAAAAGATGAAGCAATAAACACACTACAGGGAACAACTATGTTCATCGTAAAGAAATGACAGCTCAGAAACAGTAGCTCCATGTGCAAGAAAAAATGAGTATGGGAGAATAAGATTCAAATCATTTCATAGTAAGGATTTTTTATATGGTACACTGAAACTCAAGTTTCCATGAGCCCTGGTAGCATGGTGCATTACAACTTTGGCTGTTAATTGCAAGGCCAGAAATTGGAAATCACCAGCCGCTCCTTGGGAGTAAGATGAGGCTTTCTAGTCCTATAAAGATTTGTAGTTTCATAAACCCACAAGGGGCAATTGTACATTGCCTTATAGGGTCACTGAGTTGGAATTGACTTGATGGCAGTGAGATTTTGGGAACTGAGAACTTAAATTTAAATATACATAAACATATACACACACGCACACATATTTGTATGTATGCATGCCAGGATGATCAACCATTATTGGAGCTAGTTTTCCTAGTTATAGAAAATGATCATTTTCTTTAAGACAAGTTTATCTAGATTTCATTATACTGACATATTTTCAGTGACTATAAATGGTAGGAAAAACAGAATGTATAATGTCTGAAAACCAAAAGCCTTAGTATTACTAAGGATTTACTCATGAATCACTATCAAAGTGATTTGGAAATGTTTTTCCTGCCACATTTATTGATACGTATTATGGATTGAATTGTGTACCCCCCCCCCCAAAAGTGTTCTAAATCCTAACCTGTGTATTATGGCTGTAGCTATAATCCCATTTGAGAATGAGCTGTCTTCGTTATGAGGGTAGGGTGTGCTTTACAGCCATCCCCTTTGAGATATACACACGACCAAACAAGCATGCATGCAGACATAGGGCAAGATGGATGGGAAGCCACACGGAGCTTTCCTAGGAACTAGAAAGCAGCAGCAGACCCACCCGGCTGACAGAGAGAAGCCTCCCATGGAGCTGGTGTGCTGAATTTGGCCTTCTAGATTTCTAAACTGAGAAAATAAATCTGTTTGTTAAAGCCACCCAGACTTGTGCTAGTTGTCTTAATAGCAGCTCTTGATAACTATTCACTGCCGTCAGGTCAATCCCCACTCACACCAAAGACAAGATGCACTTCCCATTCAGCTTACCTGCAAATGCAAAGGCTGCAACACCCAGTCCTACAGCTATCACATTTCTTGCCTATGGAGAGAAAAAAAAGATTATCACCTATATTATTAAATGCTGATTCTAAATGTAAATCACTTTTTTTTTAAACATTTTATTAGGGGCTCATACAACTGTTATCCCAATCCATACACACATCAATTGTGTAAAGCGCATTTGTACATCGTTTCTCAAAACATCTCTCCATTTAAACCCCCGACATTAGGTCCTCATTTTTCCCCTCCCTCCCCGCTCCCCCCTCCCGCATGAGCCCTTGATAGTTTACAAACGGGTATTTTGTCATATCTTGCCCTGTCCGACTTCTCCCCTCATCCACTTTTCGGTTGTCCGTCCCCCAGGGAGGAGGCCACACACAGTTCCATGCAATTGGTTCCCTCCTTCCTACCCACTCTCCCTCCACCCTCCCTGTTTTGCCACTCACACCACTGGTCCTATAGGGCTCATCCATCCTGGATTCCCTGTATTTTCAGCTCCTATCTGTACCAGTGTACCTCCTCTAGTCTAGCCAGTCTTGCAAGATAGAATTCGAGTCATGGTAGTGGGAGCGGGGAGGAAAACTTCAGGAACTAGAGGAAGGTTGTATTTCTCATCATTGTTACATTGCACCCTGACTGGCTCATCTCCTCCCCGAGACCCCTCCGCAAGGGGATCTCCAGTGGCCTACCAATGGGCCTTGGATCTCCACTCCACACTCCCCCCATCATTCACCATGGTAAGACTTTTTGTTCTGATGATGCCTTACACCTGATCCCTTCGACACCTCGTGGTTGCATAGGTTGGTGTGCTTCTTCCATGTGGGCTTTGTTGCTTCTGAGCTTGATGGCCGCTTGATTACCTTCAAGCCTTTAAGACCCCAGACGCTATACTTTTTGATAGCCGGGCACCATCAGCTTTCTTCACCACATTTGCTTATGCACCCATTTGTCTTCAGTGATCCGTTCGACACCCCGTGATCACACAGGTTGATATGTTGTTCCATGTGGGCTTTGTTACTTCTGAGCTAGATGGCCGCTTGTTTACCTTCAAGCTTTTAAGACCCCAGACGCTATATCTTTTGATAGCCGGGCACCATCAGCTTTCTTCACCACATTTGCTTATTCACCCGCTTTGTCTTCAGCAGTTGTGTCGGGAAGGTGAGCATCATAGAATGCCAATTTACTAGAAGAAAGTATTCTTGTGTTGAGGGAGTACTTGAGTGGAGGCCCAATGTCCTTCTGCTACCTTAATACTAAATCTATAAATGTAGGCTCATAGATCTATTTCCCCATCCTCATATAATATATTTGTATATGTACATGTCTTTATCTAGAGCTCTATAAATACCCTTTGCCTCCCAGCTCTTTCCTCTATTTCCCTTGATTCTCCTCCTGTCCCACTATCATGCTCAGTCCCCACCAGGATTTCAGCACTTCCTCTTTGTTACGTTCCCCTTGATCCTGCCCTACCAGGTCTCCCACACCCACCTCCCCACCAATTTGGATCGCTTGTTGTTCCCTTGTCCCTGGGTTTGTTAACACCTCTTCCCTTCCCCCCTCCTCCCCCTCTCCCATGTCCCCCCGGAACTGTCAGTCCCATTGTTTTCTCCTCCAGATCGTTCATCCAGCCTGTCCTATCCAGACAGGCTGTAAATCACTTTTAATAATGAGAATAAGTATGTTAAATGCTACATGTACTACAAGTTGTGCTCTGAAAAACAGGGCTTCAAAAATTCATCAAGCTTATAGGAAATTTTATCTGTTGCTCACTGTTATCAGCTAATTGTTAGTGAAGTTTACTTAGCGAAGTAAGATAATTCAAGATAAGAAAATCATTCTAGATAAGAATCTGGAATTCTTTTACTTCACTAAGTGAAATGATGTGTAAAGATTTTTTATATAGTGCACTGTAACTCAAGCTTCCAGGAGTTTAAGTTCTCTAGTCAATTCCAATTCATGATTTTTATTTACTAATTCAAATTTCCATATATTTGAATTTCCTCTAAGAGTTTTTATATTGTCTGCTGCTAAAATGCTGTCTATAGATTATTTGTAGCTTGAGGGTTTAGTATTTTCATTATCTTATGAAGACAAAGGGCACGTGTTTCCTTCTTTATATTTTACACATGCTATGCTCAGTGGCATCTTTTTTTTTGGCATCTTTAAAATGTAATAAAACCTTAGATCTATATTTAATAAAGAAGTCAAACTTCAAAACACTAGTGGAAATGATGTATAATTTAAAATCTTTTAATCTTTCTATATCAATGTAAAGAAATTTAAGAGCCAAGAATTTAGTATTCTGATAAAAATTCTTTTAAATTGGCTATATTTTACGCATTGGCCTAAGCCTTTCTCCTCAAATGCCACAAGAAAATATTTAAGTCACAATAGAGTAAGGCTTATGTAGAATACATCCATGGCTGTGCCATAGTCCCCATTCTCATTTTTGGGTTAGACTTCTAATGACACAGGGTCTAGAATTCTGTCAGAAAAAAACTCCTAGAGTCAGGCCTCCCCTCTTAATGAATTTTAAGCTATTTCATATAAGCATTGCCTTAGAGACCAATATGTGAAGCCATCTGGTAGAAACAGAAGTGCCAGGGGCATTTCCCAGAATCCCTCGCACCCAGCACCATGCGGAAAACCCTATTTCCCCTTCTGAACAATGCAAACTGCAGTTCCCGGAATCTCTCATGTACAGTGGAAACCCTTAGGAACGCTGAGCCACATATGCTTATGGAGGTCATCTTCTGAATACACTTTCAGGTTGCAACCTTCCTCTCCCAAGTTTCTCATAAACTCCCCAATGTTGTCATTAGGTCTGACCAGGGTAATTCTTTTTCTTGCTAAGAAACAAGAATCTGATCTGGGCAACAATCCAATTTCTTGGATTATTTGCTCAGCACATAGGTTGTGTAACTATGCACACCTTTCCTCATTTTAAACTACACA